TATATGTATATATATATATATGGAGTGTATAAAAATTTTGGAGTTTACTGTACCAATTGTTTAAACTTCGAATGTTTGTTTACTAAAGTTTTCGAGTTCTTGTTTTCTGTCCAGTGAAGTGGAAATATACACTAACATTGTACTGTCTTGCACGAAAATACTGTAAAATACAGGCAAACAAGGTAACATATTTTGCAAACTGAACTGTAAAATCGAAAAAAAGTTTGTCCCAGCAACCAAAAATGAACAGTCAAGTCTCAAAGGTCAAGTTTATCCCACCACCAACAATATAAGAACATTTCATAGCCAAATTGACCAATAGATAACGATACCCAAATTAGCCTACAAAGCAATACAACAAAACGCAAAAGCACCCAAACAACCATCAATAATACGTAGTACCGACGAAACAAGCCTTATAAAGCCATGTATTCAATTGTATATGCACCCATACCCAACGTAAGGAAACTAAAGTCTAGAAGCAAGACAACAAAATAAACCTTTCATAATTAGCATACAACTACAACATGACAAGATATTCCAGCGTACTAACAATCAAAGCTGAACAGATATAAGACATATTTCCCAAGAAAACTAAAGCTAAAGACTAAGTTTACATCATGATTTTACTGAACATAAAGCTAATACAAATCGAATTAAAATCCCAGCACAATGATAACCTCAAAGTCTACGAGGCAAGACAACAAAATTTATTATGAATTACTGAAAATAGAAATACAACATGAGAAGACAGATATAAGAGATATGTTTTCAAAGGCAAGAAAACTAAATGGCAAAAGAATAATAACGACATAAAGAGGATAGTGCTCTATGTTTTCAAACAAGAGCTTAATAGAAAACTAAAGAACACGGGAGAATTTTCATGAACCATAAAGCATTAATAGGAACTTAAATAAACGACAAAGATCTGAAGTCTACAAGGATAGACTAATAATAAAATAATGAATCGCCAGCACATACAACATGATAACTCAATCCTACCAGGAAGAACAACAATATAAGCATATGAATCCAAAAAGAAACTAAATGGCAAAGAAAAACGACATAAAGAGGATAGTCCTGTCAAGGACGAATAGAAGAGCTGAATAGGAACTTCCAGACGAGGAGAATCTAAATGGCAAGAAATGACGAATATTGACATATATGTGTTATATACAAAATGGTTTTAATTATTCATAGAATAAGTAAATCACACAATAGAGCGTATCATCAAGATTAAAAAAATGGAACATATGGATTGCTTTTGTATATTGGAGAATGGTATTTAAACTTGAAGCTGGAAAGGAATCCTCACAATTTTGGCTAAACTGCTATAGATAACATGCTCGTCTTAATTAGCAGATAGAAAAGCTTTACAAAGGATGAAGAGCTTATCAGAAAAAGCACAAAAATAGTGCATGTTTGACATTGCCTGTTAGGTTTTATAATTACTATTTTCGTTATATGTAATCTGTATGTCCCTGTGTCCAAGTGCAGGAGTCACCATTGCACTGTGGTGATAGCCTGAGAGCACATTGTATATACACCTTGCATATATATATATAGGAGTGTATAAAATTTTGTCTTTACTGTACCAAGCTTGTTTAAATTGCATGAATATTTAGTTTGTGCGGTTTCCAGTTCTCTAGTTTCTGTCCAGTGAAGTGGAATATACACACTAACATTGTAATTGTCTTGTAATGAAAATACTGTAAAATACAGGCAAACAAGGTTTGAAAATATTTTGCAAACTGAACATCAAGATCGGTAAAAGTTTGTCCCAGCAACAAATGAAGCAGTAGTCTCAGAGAAAGTCACAGATAGATATATATCACTTTGAATATAAGAACATATATATAGCCAAATTGACCAACAATAACGAAACCAAATTAAACCAAAGCAAAACAACAAACGCAAAACAACCGTTCAAAACCATCAATAAATAAAATTGACGAACAAGCCTTATAAAGCCTTTTCATGTATTCAATTGTATATGGATATAATGATATATAAATCCCAGCGTAAGGATAACTCAAAGTCTACGCCAAGACAAAAATAAAATAATGAAGGAATTAGCAATACAACTACAACATGACAAGATATTCCAATCGCCTTCAACAAGAACCCGTCCACACACACCCTCTGGCTTTTTCCCAACAATTAAAAGTAAACGAAGACATAAGCTCACTGGTTTTCGCAGTTACAGCCGACCGAATGCCTTATACACGGAGAATGAACTAAACGAATTAAATGATCCAGAAATGACAACAGCATTGTCATCCTGAAACCGGATAAAGGCAAAATAAGTTGTTATTGAATAAAAACTACCACAAAAGATGATGGAAATTCCAACGGATACATCGAAATTGAACTTCTAAATGATGATGCCATCAAAATTACCAAACGCGAGAATCAAGTAGCGTTGCTGAGAAAAGCATTAAGGCAGAAAAACGCATAAATCAAAAAACATACAACGAACTTTATCCCACAGGTACACGTATCGGCATACTTATGGACTCCTAAAATTCATAAAGACTCCATACCTCTAAGACCAATCTTATCTAGATATTGACCACTTACTCCCAACAAGCTAGCGAAATTCTTTATTCCTCATTACACCAATCTCATAAAGCCCATTTATCAAGGACTCTTTCTCACCAAATCAAGATCTTTACAAGTGACATTAACGCCAATAACGTTGTGATGGCGAGCTTTTAAAATAAATCATTGTTCACCAACATCCCAGTGGATGAAACAATCGCCATAATAACTAATTCATCTTCTGAAACAATAACACGTCCTTTCAAGGCCTTGACGTTCACAATTCACTCAACTTCTCTCCTCTCCGTCAAAAAACTGTCATTTCTTCTTTAACGGCCAAGTTTATCAACAGATTGATGGCAAGACTATGGGCAGCCCTAGGCCCACTATTTGCGAACATATTTATGGCCTTCAAAGCTGAGAAATTCAGACATCCAATTGTCCCTCCACCTTCAAGAAAACTTACTACCAACGACTTACGTTGATGATTATGCTTTCTAACTGACCATCATTTAATCACAAACCTCTTTCCCCACCTATCTCAGATACCAACATCCTAACATCTCCTTTTTACATCTGAACTGGAAAACAATACAACACGCATACCTTTCTTGACGTAAACAACAAAGCTAAAACGGCAAGTTTTCCACCTCCGTGTATCGTAAACCCACTTTCACTGGTCTCTTCACCAATTTGAATAGTTTCATTCCCATTCAATACAAACGCTCCTGATCTCCTCTTTACTTCACAGAATTTTCAACCTCTGCTCCAGCTAGCAGATAGCACTTTACATACCGAACTATCAGTCGTTAGAAAATTGTTCACCTTAAACAACTTCCCTTCATACATATTTGACAATCATGTTCGCCGCTTCTCAACAATACATTTGAACCCAAGATCTTATTCACACTGCTCCTAAGAAAGCATGTACTTCTGTCCCTTTCACTATATATACACTGTCTTCAGATTCTTCGCACCAAATCACTCTCGACTCTGCAATGCTGCCTTTCCTCATATCAAGTCGTTCGCTTTGTTTTTAGTTCTTCCAGGCGTCTCTCACACTTCTTTCCTTTTGCACGATACTGTTCCCAAGCTCCAGAGATCTGGTGTTGTATACTCATTTAAGTGTCGATGCTGCATCGTATGTGGTCAAACCACAAATTTCACACACCAGAATATCAGAACACTTGGAATCTCTCCTTAACAGGAAGCCTTCCTATGTCCACCACCATCTGCAGTTCTTTCTCATATAAAAATACATCTCACCTGCTGATTTTAATGATTTCTCAATTCTCTCTCCTCCTCCACAATTATGACCTTATGATTCATGAAAGCCTTCTTATATCCAAACTTAAACCTCTCTTAACACCAAGGCAACTCAATCCCCTTCACCTTCTTTAATATACCGCCATCCTCACTTATTCCACCATCTAAATTTCCTACTCCTCTCACATGTAATTTAACACCCCATACTATATGCTTGTATTTAAAACCTCGTGTATATATATTAATACAATTAATCTGAAGATGTCTTAAGTTAAAGACGAAACGTAATTAATAAATCCTTCTATTTGATTATTGTGATGGCTTTCTTAAAAGTATTATGTTGGCTATTATGTTCATATTGAAAATTCGCTTTCCGCCTGGCAAATCTCTGGCACGATTTTAAATAAACGCCAAAACGGAGCACTCGAAGCGTTCAGGAAATTCCAGCGTCTCGAGCTAAAGCTTGAAAAGCCAAACTCGACCTAGAGTTCCTTATTACGTGTAAGAAGCGCTCGATAATACCAAGATTCCTATGGTTTAAGGTTGCTAATCGCAGATTGCGATCCTCTAGCGCCTATCGACAATGTCAACACAAATTGTTACAAGAAGAAATAAACACAAAGCATGCTCGGATACGAGTACTGTCATCACAAGCTACGACCGCACATTCAAGACTGGCATCTTTGGTTTCAAACCTTGACTTCATTCACCTAAAACATGTTTCTGATCGTGAGAACTCTAAAAAACTAAGCCATCAACAACGCACCCAAGACCGCAAGATATTTCGCCTTAGCACTGGACAGATTAACACAAACCCAATCAACCCTGACGACGTGGTTTTCAATTTCTCAAATCGTTTCATCACCCAAAAAAAAATCCTTTCGAAGGGCCTCAACTTTGCTGTTCCACCTGCCAAACTAAACTCGTGCACTTTCCTCACACCATTTGAGAAATTTTACAATCGCCTTCAACAAGAACCCGTCCACACCCTCTGGCTTTTCCCTGACTCAATTAAAGCTAAACTAAAGGACATAGCTCACTCGGGTTTTCGCAGTTACAGCCGACCGAATGCCTTATACACGGAGAATGAACTAAACGCGTTAAATGATCTGAGAAATGACAACAGCATTGTCATCCTGAAACCGGATAAAGGCAACGGGTTGTTATTCTGAATAAAACGACTACCACAAAAGATGATGGAAATTCTAACGGACACATCGAAATTCGAACTTCTAAATGATGATGCCATCAAAATTACACTGAAACGCGAGAATCAAGTAAAGACGTTGCTGAGAAAACTAAAGGCAGAAAAATGCATAAATCAAAAAACATACAACGAACTTTATCCCACAGGTACACGTATCGGCATACTTTATGGACTCTAAAATTCATAAATCCTCCATACCTCTAAGACCAATCTTATCTAGTATTGACCACTACTCCTACAAGCTAGCGAAATTCTTTATTCCTCTCATTACACCAATCTCCGCCAACTCCCATGTTATCAAGGACTCTTTCTCTTTTGTCCAAGATCTTTTACAAAGTGACATTAACGCCAATAACGTTGTGATGGCGAGCTTTGATGTTAAATCATTGTTCACCAACATCCCAGTGGATGAAACAATCGCCATAATAACTAATCACATCTTCTCCAATAACACGTCCTTTCAAGGCCTTGACCGTTCACAATTCACTCAACTTCTCTCCCTCTCCGTCAAAAACTGTCATTTCTTCTTTAACGGCCAAGTTTATCAACAGATTGATGGTGTGGCTATGGGCAGCCCCCTAGGCCCACTATTTGCGAACATATTTATGGCCTTCAATGAAAATTCATGGCTTCACAATTGTCCCTCCACCTTCAAACCCCTTCTTTACCAACGTTACGTTGATGATTGCTTTCTACTCTTCCGATCATTGGATCACATACCTCTTTTCCTTACCTATCTCAACCACCAACATCCTAACATCTCCTTTACATCTGAACTGGAAAAAGACAACACGCTCCCCTTTCTTGACGTAAAAATAACTCGCTCAAACGGCAAGTTTTCCACCTCCGTGTATCGTAAACCCACTTTCACTGGTCTCTTCACCAATTTCCATAGTTTCATTCCCATTCAATACAAACGCTCCTTGATCTCCTCTTTACTTCACAGAATTTTCAACCTCTGCTCCAGCTATGAGCACTTTCATACCGAACTAGAAGTCGTTAGAAAATTGTTCACCTTAAACAACTTCCCTTCATACATATTTGACAATCATGTTCGCCGCTTCCTCAACAATACATTTGAACCCAAAGATCTTATTCACACTGCTCCTAAGAAAATCATGTACTTCTGTCTCCCTTTCACTGGCCTACACTGTCTTCAGATTCGCACTCAAATCACTCGACTCTGCAATGCTGCCTTTCCTCATATCAACGTTCGCTTTGTTTTTCGTTCTTCCAGGCGTCTCTCCTCTTTCTTTCCTTTTAAGGATAGGGTTCCCAAGCTCCTGAGATCTGGTGTTGTATACTCATTTAAGTGTCGATGCTGCTCTGCATCGTATGTGGGTCAAACCACGCGTCATTTACACACCAGAATATCAGAACACTTGGAATCTCTCCCTTAACAGGAAGCCTTCCTATGTCCACCACCATCTGCAGTTCTTTCTCATATAAGAAATACATCTCACCTTGCCGATTTTAATGATTTCTCAATTCTCTCTTCCTCCTCCGACAATTATGACCTTATGATTCATGAAAGCCTTCTTATATCCAAACTTAAACCCTCTCTTAACACCCAAGGCAACTCAATCCCCCTTCACCTTCTTTAATATACCGCCATCCTCACTTATTCCACCATCTAAATTTCCTACTCCTCTCACATGTAATTTAACACCCCATACTATATGCTTGTATTTAAAACCTCGTGTATATATATTAATACAATTAATCTGAAGATGTCTTAAGTTAAAGACGAAACGTAATTAATAAATCCTTCTCTATTTGATTATTGTGATGGCTTTCTTAAAAGTATTATGTTGGGCTATTATGTTCATATTGAAAATTCGCTTTCCGCCTGGCAAATCTCTGGCCACGATTTTAAATAAACGCTACAAAAACGGAGCACTCGAAGCGTTCAGGAAATTCCAGCGTCTCGAGCTAAAGCTTGGAAAAGCCAAACTCGACCTAGAGTTCCTTATTACGTGTAAGAAGCGCTCGATAATACCAAGATTCCTATGGTTTAAGGTTGCTAATCGCAGATTGCGATCCTCTAGCGCCTATCGACAATGTCAACACAAATTGTTACAAGAAGAAATAAACACAAAGCATGCTCGGATACGAGTACTGTCATCACAAGCTACGACCGCACATTCAAGACTGGCATCTTTGGTTTCAAACCTTGACTTCATTCACCTAAAACATGTTTCTGATCGTGAGAACTCTAAAAAACTAAGCCATCAACAACGCACCCAAGACCGCAAGATATTTCGCCTTAGCACTGGACAGATTAACACAAACCCAATCAACCCTGACGACGTGGTTTTCAATTTCTCAAATCGTTTCATCACCCAAAAAGAAAAAGAAATCCTTTCGAAGGGCCTCAACTTTGCTGTTCCACCTGCCAAACTAAACTCGTGCACTTTCCTCACACCATTTGAGAAATTTTACAATCGCCTTCAACAAGAACCCGTCCACACACCCTCTGGCTTTTTCCCTGACTCAATTAAAGCTAAACTAAAGGACATAGCTCACTCGGGTTTTCGCAGTTACAGCCGACCGAATGCCTTATACACGGAGAATGAACTAAACGCGTTAAATGATCTGAGAAATGACAACAGCATTGTCATCCTGAAACCGGATAAAGGCAACGGAGTTGTTATTCTGAATAAAAACGACTACCACAAAAAGATGATGGAAATTCTAACGGACACATCGAAATTCGAACTTCTAAATGATGATGCCATCAAAATTACACTGAAACGCGAGAATCAAGTAAAGACGTTGCTGAGAAAACTAAAGGCAGAAAAATGCATAAATCAAAAAACATACAACGAACTTTATCCCACAGGTACACGTATCGGCATACTTTATGGACTCCCTAAAATTCATAAATCCTCCATACCTCTAAGACCAATCTTATCTAGTATTGACCACTACTCCTACAAGCTAGCGAAATTCTTTATTCCTCTCATTACACCAATCTCCGCCAACTCCCATGTTATCAAGGACTCTTTCTCTTTTGTCCAAGATCTTTTACAAAGTGACATTAACGCCAATAACGTTGTGATGGCGAGCTTTGATGTTAAATCATTGTTCACCAACATCCCAGTGGATGAAACAATCGCCATAATAACTAATCACATCTTCTCCAATAACACGTCCTTTCAAGGCCTTGACCGTTCACAATTCACTCAACTTCTCTCCCTCTCCGTCAAAAACTGTCATTTCTTCTTTAACGGCCAAGTTTATCAACAGATTGATGGTGTGGCTATGGGCAGCCCCCTAGGCCCACTATTTGCGAACATATTTATGGCCTTCAATGAAAATTCATGGCTTCACAATTGTCCCTCCACCTTCAAACCCCTTCTTTACCAACGTTACGTTGATGATTGCTTTCTACTCTTCCGATCATTGGATCACATACCTCTTTTCCTTACCTATCTCAACCACCAACATCCTAACATCTCCTTTACATCTGAACTCGAAACGACAACACGCTCCCTTTCTTGACGTAAAAATAACTCGCTCAAACGGCAAGTTTTCCACCTCCGTGTATCGTAAACCCACTTTCACTGGTCTCTTCACCAATTTCCATAGTTTCATTCCCATTCAATACAAACGCTCCTTGATCTCCTCTTTACTTCACAGAATTTTCAACCTCTGCTCCAGCTATGAGCACTTTCATACCGAACTAGAAGTCGTTAGAAAATTGTTCACCTTAAACAACTTCCCTTCATACATATTTGACAATCATGTTCGCCGCTTCCTCAACAATACATTTGAACCCAAAGATCTTATTCACACTGCTCCTAAGAAAATCATGTACTTCTGTCTCCCTTTCACTGGCCTACACTGTCTTCAGATTCGCACTCAAATCACTCGACTCTGCAATGCTGCCTTTCCTCATATCAACGTTCGCTTTGTTTTTTCGTTCTTCCAGGCGTCTCTCCTCTTTCTTTCCTTTTAAGGATAGGGTTCCCAAGCTCCTGAGATCTGGTGTTGTATACTCATTTAAGTGTCGATGCTGCTCTGCATCGTATGTGGGTCAAACCACGCGTCATTTACACACCAGAATATCAGAACACTTGGGAATCTCTCCCTTAACAGGGAAGCCTTCCTTATGTCCACCACCATCTGCAGTTCTTTCTCATATAAGAAATACATCTCACCTTGCCGATTTTAATGATTTCTCAATTCTCTCTTCCTCCTCCGACAATTATGACCTTATGATTCATGAAAGCCTTCTTATATCCAAACTTAAACCCTCTCTTAACACCCAAGGCAACTCAATCCCCCTTCACCTTCTTTAATATACCGCCATCCTCACTTATTCCACCATCTAAATTTCCTACTCCTCTCACATGTAATTTAACACCCCATACTATATGCTTGTATTTAAAACCTCGTGTATATATATTAATACAATTAATCTGAAGATGTCTTAAGTTAAAGACGAAACGTAATTAATAAATCCTTCTCTATTTGATTATTGTGATGGCTTTCTTAAAAGTATTATGTTGGGCTATTATGTTCATATTGAAAATTCGCTTTCCGCCTGGCAAATCTCTGGCCACGATTTTAAATAAACGCTACAAAACGGAGCACTCGAAGCGTTCAGGAAATTCCAGCGTCTCGAGCTAGCTTGGAAAAGCCAAACTCGACCTAGAGTTCCTTATTACGTGTAAGAAGCGCTCGATAATACCAAGATTCCTATGGTTTAAGGTTGCTAATCGCAGATTGCGATCCTCTAGCGCCTATCGACAATGTCAACACAAATTGTTACAAGAAGAAATAAACACAAAGCATGCTCGGATACGAGTACTGTCATCACAAGCTACGACCGCACATTCAAGACTGGCATCTTTGGTTTCAAACCTTGACTTCATTCACCTAAAACATGTTTCTGATCGTGAGAACTCTAAAAAAACTAAGCCATCAACAACGCACCCAAGACCGCAAGATATTTCGCCTTAGCACTGGACAGATTAACACAAACCCAATCAACCCTGACGACGTGGTTTTCAATTTCTCAAATCGTTTCATCACCCAAAAAGAAAAAGAAATCCTTTCGAAGGGCCTCAACTTTGCTGTTCCACCTGCCAAACTAAACTCGTGCACTTTCCTCACACCATTTGAGAAATTTTACAATCGCCTTCAACAAGAACCCGTCCACACACCCTCTGGCTTTTTCCCTGACTCAATTAAAGCTAAACTAAAGGACATAGCTCACTCGGGTTTTCGCAGTTACAGCCGACCGAATGCCTTATACACGGAGAATGAACTAAACGCGTTAAATGATCTGAGAAATGACAACAGCATTGTCATCCTGAAACCGGATAAAGGCAACGGAGTTGTTATTCTGAATAAAAACGACTACCACAAAAAGATGATGGAAATTCTAACGGACACATCGAAATTCGAACTTCTAAATGATGATGCCATCAAAATTACACTGAAACGCGAGAATCAAGTAAAGACGTTGCTGAGAAAACTAAAGGCAGAAAAATGCATAAATCAAAAAACATACAACGAACTTTATCCCACAGGTACACGTATCGGCATACTTTATGGACTCCCTAAAATTCATAAATCCTCCATACCTCTAAGACCAATCTTATCTAGTATTGACCACTACTCCTACAAGCTAGCGAAATTCTTTATTCCTCTCATTACACCAATCTCCGCCAACTCCCATGTTATCAAGGACTCTTTCTCTTTTGTCCAAGATCTTTTACAAAGTGACATTAACGCCAATAACGTTGTGATGGCGAGCTTTGATGTTAAATCATTGTTCACCAACATCCCAGTGGATGAAACAATCGCCATAATAACTAATCACATCTTCTCCAATAACACGTCCTTTCAAGGCCTTGACCGTTCACAATTCACTCAACTTCTCTCCCTCTCCGTCAAAAACTGTCATTTCTTCTTTAACGGCCAAGTTTATCAACAGATTGATGGTGTGGCTATGGGCAGCCCCCTAGGCCCACTATTTGCGAACATATTTATGGCCTTCAATGAAAATTCATGGCTTCACAATTGTCCCTCCACCTTCAAACCCCCCTTCTTTACCAACGTTACGTTGATGATTGCTTTCTACTCTTCCGATCATTGGATCACATACCTCTTTTCCTTACCTATCTCAACCACCAACATCCTAACATCTCCTTTACATCTGAACTGGAAAAAGACAACACGCTCCCCTTTCTTGACTTAAAAAATAACTCGCTCAAACGGCAAGTTTTCCACCTCCGTGTATCGTAAACCCACTTTCACTGGTCTCTTCACCAATTTCCATAGTTTCATTCCCATTCAATACAAACGCTCCTTGATCTCCTCTTTACTTCACAGAATTTTCAACCTCTGCTCCAGCTATGAGCACTTTCATACCGAACTAGAAGTCGTTAGAAAATTGTTCACCTTAAACAACTTCCCTTCATACATATTTGACAATCATGTTCGCCGCTTCCTCAACAATACATTTGAACCCAAAGATCTTATTCACACTGCTCCTAAGAAAATCATGTACTTCTGTCTCCCTTTCACTGGCCTACACTGTCTTCAGATTCGCACTCAAATCACTCGACTCTGCAATGCTGCCTTTCCTCATATCAACGTTCGCTTTGTTTTTTCGTTCTTCCAGGCGTCTCTCCTCTTTCTTTCCTTTTAAGGATAGGGTTCCCAAGCTCCTGAGATCTGGTGTTGTATACTCATTTAAGTGTCGATGCTGCTCTGCATCGTATGTGGGTCAAACCACGCGTCATTTACACACCAGAATATCAGAACACTTGGGAATCTCTCCCTTAACAGGGAAGCCTTCCTTATGTCCACCACCATCTGCAGTTCTTTCTCATATAAGAAATACATCTCACCTTGCCGATTTTAATGATTTCTCAATTCTCTTCCTCCTCCGACAATTATGACCTTATGATTCATGAAAGCCTTCTTATATCCAAACTTAAACCCTCTCTTAACACCCAAGGCAACTCAATCCCCCTTCACCTTCTTTAATATACCGCCATCCTCACTTATTCCACCATCTAAATTTCCTACTCCTCTCACATGTAATTTAACACCCCATACTATATGCTTGTATTTAAAACCTCGTGTATATATATTAATACAATTAATCTGAAGATGTCTTAAGTTAAAGACGAAACGTAATTAATAAATCCTTCTCTATTTGATTATTGTGATGGCTTTCTTAAAAGTATTATGTTGGGCTATTATGTTCATATTGAAAATTCGCTTTCCGCCTGGCAAATCTCTGGCCACGATTTTAAATAAGACATATGTTTTCCAAACAAGAAAACTAAATGGCAAAGAAAAAAACGACATAAAGAGGATAATGCTCTGCGAGGACAAATAGAAGAGCTGAATAGGAACTAAAGGACACGAGGAGAATCATCAAGAAATGAAAAGAATATTGACATATGGATGTGTTATATACAAGAATGGTTTTAATTATTCAAGAATAAGTAAATCATCACATAGAGCGTAAGGAAGGATTAAAGTACAATGGAAAATGGACAATTGCTTTTGTATATTGGAGCTTTATTTATAACTTGAAGCTGGAAAGGAATCCTCACAATTTTGGCTAAACTGCTATAGATAACATGCTCGTCTTAATTAGCAGATAGAAAAAGCTTTACAGAAGGATGAAGAGCTTATCAGAAGAAAGGACAAAATAGTGCATGTTTGACATTGCCTGTTAGGTTTTATAATTACTATTTTCGTTATATATAACTGTACGTCCTGTGTCCCAAGTGCAGGAGTAACCATTGCACTGTGGTGATAGCCGGAGAGTACGTTGTATATACACCTTGCATATATATATATATATATATAGGAGTGTATAAAACTTTTGTCTTTACTGTACCAAGCTTGTTTAAATTCGCATGCATGTTAAGTCTGTGCGGTTTCGAGTTCTTTAGTTTCTGTCCAGTGAAGTGTAAATATACACACTAACATTGTGCTGTCTTGCACGAAAATACTGTAAAATACAGGCAAACAAGGTTTGAAAATATTTTGCAAACTGAACATCAAGATCGGAAATAAAAGTTTGTCCCAGCAACCAACAAATGAAGCAGTAGTCTTTCAGGAAGGTCACAGATAGATATATACCGCTTTGAATATAAGAACATATATATAGCCAAATTGACCAACAATAACGAAACCCAAATTAGCCTACAAAACAAAACAAAACGCAAAGCACCCAAACAAAACCGACGAAACAAGCCTTATAAAGCCTTTTCATGTACCCAATTGTATATGGATATAATGATATATAAATCCCAGCGTAAGGATAACTCAAAGTATACGAAGCAAGACAAAATAAAAATAATGAAGCGAATTAGCAATACAACTACAACATGACAAGATATTCCAGAGATACTAACAATCAAAGCTGAGACAGATATAAGACATAGGTTATCCCTACAAGAAAACTAAATGCCGAAGACTAAGCGTTTGCATTGCGATTTTACTGACCATAAAGCTAATACAAACGA